ATATAAATATAAAAAGATCTGCAGATTTTGCTATATTTAAGTGGAAACGCCACTACACAGACGATGTGGCTGTAGCCCACTCATGTATAAACGAAATCTCTCCATCGGAATGTACACACTCTATCCTGAGGATATAAAATCCATAGCTCCTAAGAAAATCCTTCAATTCTTGTCCCTGACGGGTCTAACTTTGAAAAAGGGCGAGCACAATAGATTTGTAGGTCGCAGTGCCACAGGTCTAAGCACATGACAATAGCCCAAACCATTCAATTAAAAAAATATGTTAAATTTATTTTAAGTATCTTATATATAAAATTCTCGTGTCACAGTTTTCGTTCCCATACTCCTCCGAATCGGCTTGACCGATTCTCATGAAATTTTGTGAGCGTATTGAGTAGGTCTGAGAATCGGTCAACATTTATTTTTCATCCCCCTAAATGTTAGGGGTAGTCCACACCAAATTTTTTTTTTATTTTTTAGGCAAAATTTTTAGTTTCTATACTTTTATGATACAACATATAAAAATACATACAATTCTAAATTTTCACCCTTCTATCATCAACCCCTATTTTTTTATAGCGTTATTAATTTATATGGCAAAACAACGTTTGCCGGGACAGCTAGTATAAAAATATAATTTTGTAAAAAATAGTAGCTGTACAAACAATTGTACAAATTTTTATTCATTCATTGATAAATAATTTAAGAGCCACACTCTTGTCGGTCAAACTCTTACCTCTTTCCACGATCTTCCGTCATCCTCTTTAAATGTTGATACGACAAGACTCCAATTTTGTTTTTAATTTGCTTTTAAAGTATCTGTGCCTTAGTGTCCCCTCCCCTTATTTCCTTCTATTTTTCCCTCAATAATAATTTTCTTAAATATTTGTGCCGTATCAAGTGTCCTAACATTTTCAAATATATTTGTTATGAACAAATATAATTCAATTAGTATAGGCCACTAATCATAAAAAATAAAAATTAGGTTTTATTTGTTGACGACCTCGGTGTCTAGATGTTTAGCGCGCCACCTTACTTCCGATGGTAGCCGGTTCGATTCTACGTACGGCACAAACATTCATGAATATTATTGTTTGTATCGGTCTGGGAGTTTATCATGTATGTATTTACAAAAAAATGCATCTATATACCAGTATCCATAACACAAGCTCTGCTTACCTTGGGAACAGATATATGTAGAATAGATGTCGTTGTAATTTGTTCAGAGATATAAAAAAAGACAACACAGATTGTACTATATGTGTCTGTAATTTCTTTTCATTTGGTTTGTTTTGTTAGTTTGTATATAAATATCCTTGCTTTTGTGTTATTATTTATATTAATTTTATTGGTTTTGCTAAATAAAAAACGGATACGTACCAAATGTTCCTTAAAATGGTTTAAAATAAATTGCAGAAATGACAAAGTTTGAACAAAAGTCGTTATGAAGTAAACAAGTATCTACGGACATAAGAGTAGATTAGAAAAAAATATATATCACAGTATATCACAACTACCATAGAATTCATTTAAAAATACTATATACGGTACATAAATTATTAATTTCTTTCTACCTACCCACACATTTTTGACAGCCTCGGTGGTTTAGACGCTTAGCACACCGCTTTCCATGCGATAATCTCGGGTTCGATTCCTTGCACGGTGCTAACAGTTGTATTATATTATATGAATGTATAAGCTATAGTATTGTAAAGTTTCATTAAAATGCATTCAGCAGTTTTTGCATGAAATAGTAACAAACATCCATCCATACACATTCACTTCCGTGTTTATAATATTAGTAAGATATCCAGAATAAAATTAGCTATCTGCGAATGTAAATCATTTGTAAGGACATTTAAATTAATTTCGTATAATCTTTCTAAGAAATCACGCAAAACAAAACTAGTAATTTTGAGATTATTCCGAATAGATTAAAGACGCGGTGAGAAACTTTATTTTATAATACACTAGCGACCCGTCCCGACTTCAGACGGATGCATTACAAATCTTTTAATTTCTCGGCTTGTTCTATACATATAAAGCTTACTCTTGAATCACTCTATCTATAGCTTCATCATCATCATCATCATCATCTACTTCTTATTTATCCCATTTAGTTGGGGTCGGCGTAATATGTTTTTATATTCAATTCATCCCTGTTCACAGTCATCTCGTTATTTACTCCCTTTCTTACCATATCATCTTTCACACAGTCCATCCACCTCTCATTTGGTCTTCCTAAGGGCAGACCTTATAACCATCTACATTCATATGTAATACCTTCCTTAAGATATTATCTTCATTCCTACGCATTACATGCCCATACCACGACAGACGGTTACTCTTTAAACTCTCCGACACCGGCGCCACTTTCATACTTCCTCTAATGTATTCATTCTTTATCTTATCCATTCTTGTCACACCACATACCTCTACACTAACATCCGTTGTGTAGTTTAAAAGATCTAAACGAACAGACAGTGGAAGCGACTTCATTTTATACTCTGTAAAGATATAGATACATTAAAATATACTTACGCCACTCTGAGCAGTTATACACATCAATTTCGTTGCACATAAAATATTCTGGAATATTCGAGACATCTTGTTCTCTTCATTCATTTTAATTCTACTATTTACAACCAGAAATTTCATTTTCTCAACAATCACTATCCACCTTTTTATTTTGTATGTCAGAAAGTTCGCAATCACTACATAGTAAATGATTTCTATATCTAGTATCAATCTGTTTATCATGAATATCATTCGCGCTATATTTAACGGTTGAGTAAAATACAGTTTCAGTATAATCCACATTGTGTAAAAGCAAATAACTGTACAACTCAACATTCTTGATATATTAATGAGAATACTCTCTTGTCTTTCAACATACAAAGACTTATTTATTTCTTGAAGCAAACGTACTAGTTGTGTATTCAGTTCTTTATACAAAACTACATTTAGAATACTAACAGAAGCAAATTGTAATATATATTGGAAACTAGTTGAGAAATAAACAAAGAACAATGTCCATAACCGTACAGAACTATTTATAATTGTATAATAAAATGCCACAAGGAAAAAGATATTTGATGTCAACATGAGAACTGTGTTTTTATTAGAGATTATACTAAAATTATAGTTGTAGTTAAATTTCCTATGACATAGACACGTTTGAATGTAATAGATTGGTTTGATTATCTTAAAAATTGAATGTTCAGACATGTTTGAGAAGTAACAAGTATTTAATGATATTTAATATGTAGCAGTAACGCCATTCGACTATCTGTACTAGCTCTAGCATTACTGTTCAATTTGTTTACAGTAATCTCATATAATCATTATAATATGTACGCTGTCATTATTGTATATATTGTCATATAAATAATGATACATATGTCATTAACACTTTTATGTTCTAGTACTAATAATGACTGAAATTTTATTGCTTTTATTAATTTACAATTTACTACTGTCCGCCTCCCCTCTCTAGTTTCACTAAGTGTTCATAACTTTATGGAATTTAATGTGGAGTGTTGAGCCCATTGCCAGCAATGTACCATTACAGACTGATCTCCAAGTGATTCCCCCTGGAAACCATAATGAAGGTAAACAACTGTCGCTGAAATTGACACGATGAGCTAACTGACCTGACCTCATGTTCATCTTATCAACCGCCACTCTTGCCCCGACAAAACCGTTAGTGCAGGCGGGTGCACCATTCTATTATCATTCATTAATACGTAGGGTATGTTACTGTCACTTTTAAATGTATCTTTAAAACAATAAATTATTCTCCTAAATTACTTATTGAATTAAGTATTCGTATAACTATGTAATATTCTGTCTGTGGTGTAACTAAATCTGACTCTCTTTTATATTATAAAAATAATCTCTACTCTATCAATCATAGGTTTTCTTTTTGTAATTATCAATCGCCTGTATATATGAACATCACCAGGAACATCACGTTATCATGTGACATCCGTGCTACCACTCATGTGTTGTCATTCCAGAGGAATATGACGTCCTTTCTCCATACCAATAAATTGTAAGCTGAAATAGATCGTAGAGAGGTCAAAGCATCTGACGTTTAAAAAAATATTCCAAAAGCACTATTGCTTTTGGATTATTTTTTTATTAAAACTCTAAATCACAATATATTCATTATTTATATTATTTACCTCGACAAGAGAGGGAGATACCTTTATTTGCCATAAAATTATTCGTGTTAACACACTGTTAATAATATAAATAATGTATATTAAACGTATATTAAATTAAGGAAAGTTTGAAAACAACTGTATATTCATACATTACATACACTTTGTTACATTGTTTATCTAAAGATAGGCTCCTACAAGATTTGGCTGAGCAGGGACAGAAACACGCTGAAGGTGAGAGATGAAGATGAGGGTACAACGGGCCTCTTAAACCTACACCCGTGTCACAAGTCACAGATACTGCTCCCAGTTTCTCTTCTCTGCCACGATGGACCCGGCACCCGCAACGTGAATACATGGAATGCTTCTTAGCATTCCATGTATTATTATGTATTATCATGTATTATTACATCTATCTCTTTTTTAGATTTTATGATGTATATTTTTTGTAATTTTATCTCATCCTGCTCTAAATTATTTAGTCAAAGATAGGTATCACATTCAAAATTAAAAGTACCTACATTCCAGACGAATAGGACCAAAAAAGTTTCGTCAGACACTGTCGTCGGAATTGTTTTCTTTTGTACATTAAAATTTTTTTCAATTCAATTTTTCTTTCATATATAAAAATCTATATTATATATGTATATTTATATATAAAAGTTAGTGTCATTGTTAGTTGCCATACTTGTCCGATTTTGATGAAATTTTATATTTATACTCGGTTTGAGAATAGGTTGTTATCTATTTTTATAACCCTGAGAGATAAATGAAGCTCAACCCAACAAAATTTGAGAAAATATTTTATTTTTTATTATATAAAAAATACATACAATCTTAATTTTTCTAGCGATGTTACTTCAATTATGTCATAAGCAATGTTTGCCGGGTTAGTTTTTTTTAATTACAAGAATGCAAACTGCAATAAAACTATGATGTATGTAGAGAGTAGACTCATCTGCTTCAACGGCAGCTTCCCATCCACAGTAAATATACGGCACGCTCTCATTTTACAGAACACCGTACGATTTACTCGTTGTACGTTTTTGCACATTCTTTTTCTTTCATCTGAAGTTTTAATTTACACTAGTTATTTTATCAAATGTATATATTAACTAGTTGTGCCCGCAATTTCACGTTAAATTTCGATAAAAAATATAGCCTATATGTTATTCTGATGCAAGCAAGGTATATTACTGTATAGTTTCGGGTGGTTTTACATAGCATGAAGGAGTAACAAACATCCATACTTACAAGATTTCGCGTTTATTATTAAGATGGTGATGAAGCTAAAACTTTGTACACCTGTTTACGACAATTACGCGGATGGAGGAGTATCCAATTTCGCACAGTTATAGTTTATATGGAGAACGAGTAAATTACACTACTATTTCTTTAATATTTGTATAAAAATAATTAAAAAAAAATATATATATATTATACTAACTACCAAGTATTTGTCATACACAAACGTTGTATATACCCTTTTGTTTATTGCTTATACAACTGCTAGTGTCTTAACTAATAGAACCTTAATAAGGTACAAACTTATAATTTAAATTAATTATGAATTTCGAGCACTGGGCGATCACTGGTTAGGTATCATTTTAGCCCATTTCATTATTTAATTTTTATTATTCAATTAGACTTATTAAACAAAGTACAAATTTATTACATAATTAATTTATACTTTGTTTAATAAGTCTATACTACTCTGTGTAGACTCTAATAACGGTCGGAATTTGATCACCAATAGCGAAAGTCGTAATGATTCCAGTATCGGTGATCAGGTTTCGGCACTGAATATTTGTAGTCTTACATACGCTAATGGCAATAGCATAGTAAAGAAAATAATATAAATCCCTACCTTAGCTGAATTCCTCTGTATAAAACTTCATCCGTTATTCCGTCCCGTAAAGGTGAAAGGAAAGAGCAATAATACACATAAATAATTGATCACCACGCGGCCCCTTATTTCATTACCTTTGCACCCTCTTCTTTCACATATCAAAGGCCTTTTTATTTAAAAAAACTGTTCTTTTGAGGTCAACCAAGCGAGGACAGATTGTCCTGGTGCCGTAAAATTAGAAGAATCGACCCCATATAAAGATAGAGAGTGTAAAGAAGAAGAAAAGAGAGTAGTTATGAGGTTACTAAAACTAACCTGACTGTCCTTTGGAGGTTATGAGTAGTATGCACTGTAATTGGACGTCATTTACAGCCAAATAAAACTTTTCATATATGCTGCATAGATTCACATATAGAAACACGTTTTTCCCAATCCATAACATAGTAAGGAGAATTGTTAGGTAACTAAATAACTGAAATAGAACGTTACAAATATTATTTAATATATTACACATTTTCAATTGTAATCTTTATTTTGGTTTCATTAATTACTAGGGATCCGCCCCGGCTTCGCACGGGTTCCTACTACAGAATGTCCTTATAAACAACGTTTACAGCATTTTTGTTACTAGACAATACGAACATGTTCTGTTTAGCGCCGCCGGCAGGGCCAGTACCGCCGCACCGCTATGTCCTTGCATTTTAAATCTGTAATATCTTCGGAAATTACAGAAAAAATTCCGAAGATATTAAAATCTCTAAAATATCAGTATAATTCACTTTTATTTTGATTTCTTTGTTCATTATTATTTAAACACAGTTGACCCGCGCGCAAAGTCGCCTGTATCACATTATATTTCGCCAAATTTACATAATATGGTATAAAATTATAGCCTATGTAAAATTGTGATGTTTAATCTATTTTGCTGTAAAGTTTCATCAAAATCCGTTCAGTAGTTTTTGCGTGAAAGAGTACAAACATCCATTCCTCAATACTCACAAACTTACGACGTCATAACAATATAAGATGGTAGCTTGCTTACCTTATCATCAGATGACATTGTGGAATGCAATGACCAGACCACTCTATATGTATATACCAGACCGTGACTGAAGTTTAAGAATTCTTTGTACAGTATCTGAAGTTAAAGTTAATATTTATTATTTCTATAAATAGGGTTAAATAGTGTTGAGTTAAAAACCACAACCATAAAAATAGAATTCATGAAAATGAAGCAAAGTGGAAAATTGAAAAGAAAACCATTAAAAAAACTGCACGACCACATTAACAATGCAGTATGAAAAATTCTAAATTTATTTCCAGATTTGCCTACATTTTCTACATACTTTTTCTGAAAAAGTGGGCACAATTTCTATGCAGGATGCATGTTGCTGTATGCATCCTGTCAATTGTTTCTTAGAACAGAAACCTCTAATAAGTCATATTAATTATTTTTTTAATGTTTTCCACTTCTTTTGAAATGAAGAAAGTTATATTCTTGAATTAAGCGTACCAAGTACGTTAGTAATGTACCTTTTTATAAAGTACCAACCACTTTATAAAAAGGTATATTAATTATTGATGTTTAATAATGAAAAAACAAATACTATTATCTAATTTAGATACTACTCTAAATTCATACTCACCACTGTTTGATGACATGTATTGTTTAATTTGTAAGCTTCTATTATGTCCACGTATGTCATAAGCATTTTGTCCCAGTAACCACCGACATACTTCAGTTCATTATTATATTCATTCCATTTAACTTGATAACTCCACAATTTTAATTCATATAATATATATTTCAATATTTGTGTCGTGTAAATTAATGGATAATCGAATACAATTAAAATAAACGTGCACACTGGATTCAGAAAAAAAGGATTCGCTTTTTGAAAAATAATGAAAAATGACGTGAAAAAAAATAATAATATGAAAATGCACAACCAGTTCTGCATAGCCATGTGTTTGAGCATTTTATCGTTTGACATTAACGAATCGTGGATTTTCTGTATCATTACAATTAACTGTACATTGTTTGTGCTCTGTGTTATATTTACAATAAGAAATAAAACAAATGCCACAGAATAAAAACCGGTGTCTATTAAATTTATAAACTGTATGTTCTGATCATATTCTACGAAATATAAATAAACGCGTATAAAATACAAAGACAAGTATAGAAATGTGCCAATTATGGATATGATATTTGAAATCACTCCCTTTGGTGTTATGAAATTGTCGCGTATGTAATAATTTGGTAGAAATGACAATTGTTGAAATGTATAGAATGGTAGAAGCATTGTTTGTATATTGTTTGATAGTGCATTGTTGAGTAATATCTCAGATTTTGATAATGAAACACGTTTCACTGTCATGTCTCGGTTAGGAATAATGTGTATATCGTTAGGGGTCAAGCGAGGAAACATTAATTACATTATATGTTACTATTACAATAATGAAAAAGCACATTTGACGAAATAGACAAAATAAAGTAATAAGATCCATCAGTTAATAAATATGATGACGTTATATCCATTGTTTTTTTTAAGGAAACCTTTACACGTGGAAAATTATTTATGATTATTATATATCATAAATAATTCTTATAAATCAGCGAATTAATTTGCTGATAGTAACCCAATAAAAGTAAATCGATTTAGTTTTGAACTATAAATTCGATTTTTTACCCCTTTTTTTGTACACTTCAAGTTGGAAGCTGAAAAAAATAGCTTGCGAAGTAACATGTTTGCGGTTGCAATACGGCAGACAGAAGTACTAAAACGACTTTATACTCACAAAGCGTACTTATCATTATCACCATTACATAGTATAAAACAAAGTCGCTGTCGCTGTCCGTCCCTATGTATGCTTAATTACTTAAAATTACGCAACGTATTTTGTAGCGGTTTTTTTAATAGATAGAGTGGTTCTAGAGGAAGTTTTATACATATTATTATATATAATACATGTACACCTGTGCGAAGCCGGGGCGAGTAACTACTTGTTATATATGAATATGGTCACTGGTTCATGTCATAAAAACAATAGAAGGATTACTTTATTAAGATCTGAAAAGAATAAAATAATAAACAAGTAGGTACAATAGTGTAGATATTTATTATACTTCTATTTCAAGTAAGTTAAAATCAATTTAAAAGAAATGAAGGACATAAATAATTTGAGGAAACAAGAAGAAACAATTTAAAGGTTGGTAATAATGAGTTAGTCTCTTATACCTTTCTATCGATGTCTGTTATCAGTTATCTCCTTTAGTAATTCTTTAATGTAAAAATCCAAACTGCAGTATCACTATAACATACGTAGAAAGTAGACTAAGCAGTTTCAAAGGCAGCTTCCCGTCCACAGTTAACATGCTACATGCACTCATTTTACAAAACACCGATCGATTAACTCGTTGTATATTTTTACACATTTTCTTCCTTTCTTCTGTAACATATTTTCAACAGATATATTAGGTAATTAGTGCGTAGACAGTCTTTGTAATAAATACTATTACCTTTATAAAAATTGTGCGTGGATAACTCTTTCTTAAGTATTTCAGTTGATAGCTTCTATCTATCTTCCTGTTTGAAGAGTAGATATAAGAATGAAGGAGAATAGCTAATGATTAGGAGAAGACTAATTATATACTTTCGTATATTCGGCAAACTATTATCACAGATAACATAATATTACATACAGATACCATTTTCTTGTATGGGATGGCCATACAAGAAAATGGTTCCTTCCTAACTCGGGCAATTCTTCGGGCTATTTTATTTCGCCACCGTAGCCGCTAGATGTCGCTAGATCTGAAGCAGTTCGGATTACTAGTGGGTGCTTAGTAACAAAGCATGAAAATAGATGGCAGTGAATTCAGTCTACATGACATCTGTTTTGCAAAGATATGTATATAATAGATATGTAGGTAACTGTATCGTGTACCTCATTAGGGACGATTCAAGATTCAATGTAAATGTGTAGGTATAATATCGTTAGCCGACACTCTGCAGATATGGCTTATGTGCCAATGTATATACCTATTGTGTTATGGTTTATTTTACATTCCATGCCTATTTTTTTTGATATGTTGTAACGCGTCTGCGCTATACGTATAGCCTGATTTTGATACATTTATACTCGTACGTATCAAAATCGGGCTATACGATTTTTTATTTCAATCGTTATATGTATGAGACTGATTTTAGCTACAATTAATTTACTGGTATATACCTCATGTATTCTACGATGTACCCCTCTTTTACCTAATGAGAATTCCGCTATATCTTATATATAAATTTTGTATCACAGTGTTAGTTGCCATATTTCTCCCACATTTTGATGAAATTTGATATGTATACTTCCCAGGTCTGAGGTAGGGTTGTTATCTATTTTTTATACCCCTAAGTCATAGGGGTGGCCTACCCCGAAAAAATATTTTTTTGTATTATGGACAATTTTTTATTTATTTATAATGTTACATTGAAAATACATACACGCCTAAATTTTCACCCGTCTTTCACCAACCCCTATTTTTAATAGCGATATTCTTACAAATATTATAAATGCTAATGTAACTCAGTCTGTCTGTTTGTCTCGCTTTCACGCCAAAACTACTGAACTGATTTAATTGAAATTTGGTAGACAGATAATGTAGACCCTGAGAAAGGCTACTTTTTAATGCGAAAAAGTATTGAAAGGGGAAATGAAAGGCTATATGAGGATATCGTAATTTTTAAAGTCAGATCTTGTAAGATTAAGTGAACAGGGTCGGTCTAGGTTTTTCATTATTAGAAATGTGTAACGGGGTAACACGTTATTTAGTGCGAAATTGTGTATATTACAATAAAATTTAACGAGAAAATATTATAATGATATCACTGGGACACTCATTGCCTTACTACTATATCGTCCGTTAGGAGCGAACTTTCTGGAAACACGAGAGGCGCTATCCTATACCGCGCGTAGATGCAGTAGATAGTACTTAGACGAGTCTCACGGCGCCGCAGCGTAAGTACTTACTATACATACGTAGTATACATATGGGTATTACAAATGTTTTTATTACTAGTAATATTACTCTGTTATCTAAGCAAGTAATGTGTGCTTATTTTGAACTTGATAACATTCTGAATTACTCGTATATCTTTCAATATCTTTAGCGGTATAAACCAGGTTATGTACTACTACTAGTATTGTTAGTGAGGGATAAAGTTGATGAACAAAAATAAAACAATATTCGTATTAAAAATATATTCATCTAATATTTTTGGCATTATTTTTAAGTTTCTTCCAAATATAAGGGGTCTGACATGGGGTGTTATGTACCTACATTAAAAAATACTTTTTGAAATGTATGAAAGAAACGTATTGTATGAAATTTTTGAAATGTGTGAAATGTATGCATCTACATTAAAAGATAATTTTTGAAATGTATGAAAGAAATGTATTGTATGAAATTTTTGAAATGTATGAAATGTAAGGACCTACATTAAAAGATAATTTTTGACATGTATGAAATGTATGAAAGAAATGTATGTACCTACATAAAAAGTTCATTTTTGAAATGTATGAAATGTATGAAAGAAATGTATGTACCTACATTAAAATATAATTTTTGAAATGTATGAGATGTATGAAAACAATGTATGTACCTACATAAAAAGTTCAATTTTGAAATGTATGAAATGTATGAAAGAAATGTATGTACCTACATTAAAAGATAATTTTTGACATGTATGAAATGTATGAAAGAAATGTATGTACCTACATTAAAAGATAATTTTTGACATGTATGAAATGTATGAAAGAAATGTATGTACCTACATTAAAATATAATTTTTGAAATGTATGAAAGTAATGTATGTACCTACATTAAAATATAATTTTTGAAATGTATGAGATGTATGAAAGAAATGTATGTACCTACATAAAAAGTTCATTTTTGAAATGTATGAAATGTATGAAAGAAATGTATGTACATTAAAATATAATTTTTGAAATGTATGAGATGTATGAAAACAATGTATGTACCTACATAAAAAGTTCATTTTTGAAATGTATGAAATGTATGAAATAAATGTATGTACCTACATTAAAAGATATTTTTGACATGTATGAAATGTATGAAAGAAATGTATGTACCTACATTAAAAGATAATTTTTGACATGTATGAAATGTATGAAAGAAATGTTTGTACCTACATTAAAATATAATTTTTGAAATGTATGCACCGTACAATAACAATACACGTTAAACATCATACCACAGAGTCATACGCAAGTTAAAAACAAACTGCTATGATATTAATGAGAAAGGAAAATAAACTTTATGGTATTCGAGTTAGGGTCGATTTCTCTCTTTTTTTTTTAACTATTTTAATCTTACCAGTTGCCAGTATTCGAAGACAGCTACGATTCGTACTCGATATTTTAAATTATTATGTAATCGATTTTTCAGTACAAATGTAAATAACCAACGACACTAATAATGTACTACTATATTCCGTTCTTTGAAACGGAATACTGCTATACTTAATACAAAATAATGAAAATTTACTGTTCACAACGACTCATTAAAAGCATCATCGAATAATGCGCTGTAATAAAATCCTGTTATCGATTATTAAAAAAATCGATAATACATGTATTTATTTTTAATATGACAACACTTCATACATAAGTATTATTGGAAATAGTATTATTTGCTTGTTCGGCTATTTTTAATTTACTTAAACTTTTTTTATATGTTTAATTTACAATAATAATATATTAAGTGCTTATTATTGGAAAATATAAAAAAGACATTTAATTAGGCCGATACAAATGACAACAATGCCATCTATGAAAGCATTTTGAAAACATTGAGCCCCGTATTAGCACTGATTAAAGTGTAATTAAGTACTGGAAAATAACAAAATGAGTAAATATATGAAAATTACTTTTCTAAACGCATTATTTCATTTTAACATGTATATATATTTTTAAAAATGGATTAAACTATTTTGAAAACACAGTTTTGTTTTTTAAAACGTTTGCAAAACTATGAAGAATTCCATCGATACCAATCACGCCATCTATATGCAACTTTTAGCAATAATAATGGCTATTTCCTCATTGAGTGCCACTGCTATTATGTAACAAATTCAAAAGCTTTACAAATGCGTTGTTGCGAATTAGATACAAACAAAATATTTAATAATTAACATTTAATATGAGCTACGGTCATAACATTTTTTAATAATAACAACTGTATCTATATTAAAATCTATTCATCATAGAACTGTACCTGAATGTCCTTTGGAGGTTATAAGTAATATGCAATCAGACTGAGCTTCGTTGACAGCCAAGTAAAAGTTTTCATACGCAGTGCATAAATTTATATATAAGTAAATATTTTTAAAAATCCATATTGCAATCAGTATTACTCCTGAATAATTTAATATCTAAAATAATGGAATATAAGGTTTAATATTGCATAGCAAGTGGTAACCGTCAACATAAATAGCAATATGTATATGTACCACGTGGTTATGGTATTCCTTATTTGTTGCACGTAATATTACTGCAACACAGCAACAACAAATTACTAAATATATAACTATTTTCACTATTTATATATACAAATAATAAGTATTCTTTAAATTATTTCATGGAAAAACTACTAAAAGTGCGGCTTTTAGTGGGTTTAAGTAGTTTTTCTAAGATACTAAACTACTAAAACCCTCCAAAATGCGCACTTTTAGTGGGTTATTATAAGATTTTTCAACAAAAATATTTAAAGGTGTATGTGGGGAATGTAGGATTCTTACCCACAAAAAAACATATACTGTATGTCTGATGCCATAGGCTCGTGTCAGAATTCTACTAAATTACTTACGATTTAATTGTTTATTTCTTAAGTAACTTACTATGTATTCAGTTTTTATTATAATACGAAATCCCCAGACAATTTTATAGATATATAAAAGACCGTGACTGAAAAACAACAGCGCTTTATAAAGTATCTGAAAATAAAAACAGTATTGACATATCATTTTTAGAGCTAGTAGTAGATTGAAAACACTAAAGCCTGTTACTACATAATAAGTTTGTTTTTGATTGGATCTCATTATTTGATAATGAATCTTTTTACTGTACTTCCTTATTCAATAGGAACGGTTGCTTCTTTATTATAAAATTTATTTAATTTCAAGTCTTACTAATCTTTGATTAAATAAATTATTAAAATTAATTAAATTATTGTTGTGCAATGTTCATTTTACTGGTCATTATGTTTGTATTATATATATTTATTTGCATGTACTTACCAATGTTTGATGACATGTTTTATTTAAATTATACGCTTTCATTACGTCTATATATATCATAAACATCTTATTCCAATAGCTATTCTCATATTTTATCGCTTTATTAGTGTTCAACTCCATTTGTATATTCCACAATTCTAATTCATAAGTTATGTACTTTAAAATTTGCGTTGCATGAATTATTGGAAAATCAAATAACATAGACACAAACATGCATATAGACTCCAAAATATAAGTACGGCCGTATATGCGGAAAATAAAAAAAAACATAAAAAAATACGTCATCAATATAATAATATAGATCCAATTCTGCAAAGCAATACGTTTAGACATTTTATCGTTTAACATTAACGAATCGTGGACTTTCTGTATCGTTACAATCAACTGCACATTGTTTGTACTTTGCGTTATATTTACGATAAATATCAGCATATACCCGATTGCGTACAATCCGCCATCCAAAAAATTTGATACGATCAAATCTATATTCAGATCGTTATTAATAAAAGATATAGACATGCGCATTAAATTCATTGATGAGAATAGAAATGTGCCAATTGCCGATATAATATTTGAAATCACTCCCTTTGGTGTTATGAAATTGTCGCGTATGTAATAATTTGGTAGAAATGACAATTGTTGAAATGTATACAATGGTAGAAGCATTGTTTGTATATTGTTTGATAGTACATTGTTGAGTAATATCTCAGATTTTGATAATGAAACACGTTTCACTGTCATGTCTCGGTTTGTTATGTTTGAACACTAAAGAGTTTGTTGGGGAGTAGTAATTGAATTAAATTAGTTATTATTACAGGTTGGTGTTACGTTAATTAGAGTGAGTGTAGGCGGCAAGTTAGAGTCGGAATTTCTTCAGTTGATAACGATGGATATTGGTTTTTTTATATCGTAGGGGGCAAACAAGCTTCCGACATACATGGGCAACCACCCTCGAGTTACTTTCACTATGTAGGTCATCTTTTAATAACTAATTAATAAATTAAAATGTTAGTATTTTATTTTTTATTTTTTCTTAGAGTTATTCTTCTTTGTTGTTGGTTTTATCTTTTGTTTATTGTAATCCCATACAGAGTAGTCAGAGATATTACGAAAACTTGTCGAGGGGAACACAAAAAATTTCATTGGATTTAAAATATTAAATACAACGTCATCTCATGGGGGAAAGGGATTGTTAGTAATGTGGAGATACCCCGTTACTAGCAATGTACCAACTTGACCTCCACGCGGTTTACCCTGAAAACCATCGTGATAAATTTCTGCTAAATATGTTCTCATCTTATCATCGTCCACTGGTGCCCCGCCAGCGTAAACCGTTAGCGCAGGCGGATGCACCATACTATTATCATCTATAAAAAAAAAAGTCATCTCATGCTTCTATCCTGTATTCATTTTAATAATTGGAATGGCAGATAAGCTGACTAGACTATACGTAGTAACCGTCACCTATACATGAACAGCACTACGGACACCACTCATTGCCATTCTGGATGTGATGGTATGCTTTTATCCTATATAATTACACTTCTTACCTATCTTCAACCAATACACAGCTTATAATTCAAGATGATTGGAGACTTAAATAGGTACCTACTAATGTACACATGTAGCACACGCTGACAACTTTTCAAAAAGTCTACCTCCGTAGACTGTTTTACTATTATTTTACTGTGAATATAGAAACAGACAATAAATATTCTCATATTAGAATTTGTTTGCAGATCCCTAAAATAAACGCTGATACAATCAGCAATTATATAATGTACCTTCATAATTAATAGTGATAAAAAAATTACAGACACAAGCGGCCAAAAATGTCCTCTATATGAATAAAAATAGCCTTTTACTCTAACTTTCAGTTAATTTCCAAAATAGGTTGCTATATACCAATTACACATAAGAAACATCATGTATGAGTAAAAATATAAAATGTATAATACTTTATGAAAGCCAGACTCGTCTGGTCTTTGCTCTGGTAGCTTTGTAACTCATAGAAAAAGTATAAGTAGTAATAAAATTATCCTATGACTTTGTAATAATAATATGATCAATAATATTATAAAGAAATATTTACTTTCAAATTATGAAAGTATGATGTACACATGGTCGCCCTGGAAAACATATTTTTTTTATAATATTTTTAATGCACAAAACATCTAATCCAAGAATTATACTGACAATAGATTCTGATGCACAAAAGGCGATCTTAACATACGCAACCCATTTTCAACCCTTCCAGACAACCTTTAGGTAGAGAACAAACAAAAAAGTGATATGTAACGCATGAATAACACGTTAGAATATACCTATATATATATATAGACAGAATACTATTTCAAATGAATATTAGAAAATAACATATAAATATTTAAATACCTACACAAAATATAAGTACAAAGTATAGTATATTTATATATACTATAATTGAAATAATAAGAAGGACAACAGAAGAGGAGAATTAACATGGAGTGGTAAAACTGAGTTCTTAAAATTGTTCGTGTAACTAATCTAACTTCATAATCATTTTATCATCCTCTACGGATACCCCGCCAGTGTATACCGATAGCGTAGGCGAGTGCACCATTCCATATGTCATCTATTTACTCAGGTCAAAACATTTAAAATTCACTCTGCAATAAGTATACTGTTTATAACTACTATTTTCATAATAAATGTTATCCGTTTCCGTGGTGTAGCGGTTATCACATCTGCCTAACACGCAGAAGGCCCCCGGTTCGATCCCGGGCGGAAACAATTGTTTTGTTCCGATTTTTCTTTTATTACTTAATTAATTATTTTTTTGCATTAAACTTAGCGGTTTATTTCTTTCTGTAATGAATTAGATTATTTTTTTCCCAATAAAGCGTGCAAAAGTAGAGAAAATTATTGTTTACTTTTTATACCTAATTGAATTGCTGAGGTATCGTTTTATGTTTTCTATTTTCACATAAAATCCAGTAAGAGATAATTAGAAGAATCAGTAATAAAAATATTGTTTTTATTGGACGTATGGGTGAAATTATAAAATCTTACTAACATTATTAATGCGTAAGTTTGTTAGTGTGAATGGATGGATGAATGTTTGTTCCTCTTTCATGCAAAAGCTACTGAATGGATTTTAAATACACTTTACAGTAATAGTTTATACATCAGAATGACACAAGCTGTAAGTTTCACGCACGTGAAAGCACAGTTAGTTTTATAAATCTATTGAAACATGTTGAATGATTTGGTATTTACCTACCTATGTCAGAACAAATACTAATGAATATTTAATATATCACTTATTATATTTATATAAAAATTCATATAAATGCAACTTTTGTGTAATATAATTATACAAAAGATCAATGAAATAAATCGTATAAAAAAATAAAAAATCCAATGTAAGATAATATAACTTACATAATAGCCCCATCTATACGTAAAACGTGACACTAAATAACTCAACTGTAACTACAATACAGTTTTGTCATAGAAATATCACTACTGCCCGCTAGATGGCGCTGTACCTACCGGTAAATAAACATTTTATGAATATTTGTAATTGCGTTTATATTCTTAAAATAATTTGAACAATTTTAATATACGTACTATTCACTCTACTTTTTTCGAATTATTCATAATTACGTAGTATAATCCCCCTTGCAAACCATACTAAATAGTGGTGACTAGTGAATTCACCATAATAGATTGACTGGTCTGACTTCATCATTTTATCATTGAATGGTGCCCCGCCAGAGTATACCGTTATCACAGTTATTAAAATAGTGAATTAAAATTTCAATACATACTTTTATTTTAAATTGACAAAGTTTTTATTTATATGTATAATTAGCTGTCCCGGCAAACGTTGTTTTGCCATATAAATTAATTATTAAAAAAATTGGGGTTGTTTTTTTAGAAGGGTGAAAATTTACCGCCATAATCATGTATTTTTATATAACCATATCATAAAAATGATGATAATTTTGTTTAAATTCGTTTGTCTGGTCACACCACACATTTACCATGAAAAATAATTTAGACGATTCTAAACACCTAGAAAGCTCACATGTTTTCGTTGAGAATGATATATGCGTGTCGGTAATTACGGGAACGAAAACTGACATGACATTTTAAATCCCAAAAGATGAACAAATGAGTGATGTTGCGCAAGTTTAATTTATCAAACAATCTTTTTTTTGGGCTTACCGTTATAATCATGTGAACGGGTGCATAGCAGTGGTAACGATGATAATTTTATTTATTCGTTTGTCTGGTCACACCACACACTCACCACAGTCTCACCTAATTTAGACGCTAAACAGCTAGAAGGATGATAAGATGGTTGAGGACATATGCATGTGTAATTACGGTGACAAAGCCAATGAATTTATCACGAAAATGTCAACAAATGAGTGGATACCATGACATGGTGCATTCGCTATCAACCAATCTTAAGATTATAAGTCTCACGTTACCAATCCCCTTTCCCCCCGCTTATAGAGACTTGTCTACTCTGATAGCAATGACTGATTTATTGTGTTATTGAAGTAGCTAGTATAGATATTTATTTTAGTATTTTTTTAACTTGCTAGTTTCTGTATACACACATTTCAAAATGGATACAACTAAATTATTGAAAAGAGCAACACGCAAGTTTCTTGCTCGTTCTTCTTGTGATGAGACCGCTTTCCGAATGGGCGATAGATTAAAAAAAAAGTGATGACTATTCAAAAGAACTTCAATGTAAGTTTATTTGAATAAATGATTTTCTGTTCTATTCTAATCTTGGCTGGCTCACTGTTATACTCGTGAACGGGTGCTGCTTGTAGAGACTTGTCTGCTCTGATAACTATGACTTATTTATTTTATTACTCAAATAACTATTATATTTATTTACTTTTATCTATCTTGCTATTTGACAGTTTCTATTCACTTAAAATATTAAATACATAATGCTGAATAACATTTATTTATAAGAGTAATTCGTAAGTTTCCTCCTTCTATGTGACGCAGACAAATCTGTGTGGGTCACCCACTTTGTTCACACATAAAGAATTCCAGATAATCTTTATATATCTATTATCAGAGTTGCAGTTGAATGAACCCACTGTAACATAAATGCATTGCACTTTTTATCAGTCGTTGCATTTTTTTTATCGTACTCTGATCTTGATTCGCTGTAATTTTTATAAAAATCATACCTACGTAGTATTGTGTGATAGTTTATTTATAATCTATTTGCTTAGAAAATATTATCTTTTTGTGAGTAATGCATAAACAGGATGACAGTCATTGTAACTTAGAAGTGATACAGTTTATAACATTTACTATTTTTTTGCCGTCAAGCAGTTTTAAGGGTGAGCAAGGATAGTTAAATTACAGGATATGTAAGGGTATCACCTGACTTCTCTTGAATGGTAAGACCAGATACCACGATTTACCATTACCAAATTTTCAAATCTTCAACTGGTAACAGTTTTGTCAGTACCTTTATGCCTTTAGCGTAAGCGGGATAGTCATATGAATATCATCTTCTTAAAAAAGAAGTTATTGAGATGGCGGCAACATTTGCGCCGCATCTCGACTACCTATGCGTCTATATATGGGGGGCTGAAAATGAGTAATTACACTGAGTATTGTTATACTTTCTTTATTTGATAAAAACATTACTATCTAACAGGGCAAATATTGTTTTGCTATGTAAATTAATCAGTTATCGACCAAAAGAGAGAAAG